CCCCCCTGCCCCCCACCCTAGTCCCCCCACCCCTGCCCCCACGCGCCCCCCGCCCCCTCCTAGTCCCCTCCCACTGCCCCTCGCCCCCCCCACCTAGTCCCGCCCTGACCCCAGCCCCCTGCTCTGCTCCCTAGTGCCCCTGCCCTGTCCCCCATTCCCCTTGCCCCCCAGCACCCTTGTACCCAGCGTCCCCCCCGCTCCTCTTGCCCCGGGGGCGGGGAGGCTGGTTGCCTGCCTGCGTGGGTGTTGCAGCAGGGGGTCAGGCTCTGGGGGGCATTAAGGAGGGATTTGGGAGGGGGTGGTGCCAGATGCTTTGCCCGCAGGATATCGGAAGGGGCACGAGGATACTGGCTTGTTTGGCTGGGGGTGTTATGGGGCTGGAGCTGGATGCAATAACGTGCCATTGGGGTGTCTGTCTCCTGGGGTCTGGTGAGGGAGTGGCTGCTATTCCTGGGCATGGCTTTGTCATCTGTGTTGGGGACGGGGCAATACAGCAAGGGCCATTTCCCTACAGTGTGTTTACCTCCCTCTCCCATGTTGTCCCACAGCAAGGTGGGCAGGATGAGGAGCCGGAAGAAGCATTTACATTGGTGCTAGAAGTGGGGACGCCCCAGAAGACATGTCGTACCGAGGCAGCGAGCGGGACTTCCAGACTTCAGCCAGGAGGATGGGAACTTCGTTGCTCTTCCAGCTCTCTGTCCATGAGAGAGAGCTGGACCTGGTCTTCTTGGACCACAGCTATGCCAAGCCATGGAGTGCCCACCCCGACGCTAGCAGTGCCCGGCCTACTCGGATGCTCTTTGTCACCCCCAGGAGGCACCAAGACAGCACCATGTGAGCATAGCCTTTTCTGGTGCTACTGAGTTGGTTGGGTTTGGGTCCACGTGTACCTTGGATATTCCTTCCCTGTGCTTTGATGGTTCACTCATTGCTTTCTTTGTCTGTTTTCAAGGTGCTTTTTAACACATTAGGTAACACATGTTGAAACCCCAGTCTAAGAATATAAGAACGGCCATACTGGGTCAGACCAAAGGTCCAGCTAGCCCTGTATCCTGTCTACTGACAGTGGCCAATGCCAGGTGCCACAGAGGGAATGAAGCGAATAGGGAATCATCAAAAGTGTTCCATCCCCTGTTGCCCATTCCCAGCTTCTGACAAACAGAAGCTAAGGGACACCATCCCTGCCCATCCTGGCTAATAGTCATTGATGGACCTATCCTCCATGAGTTTATCTAGTTCTTTTTTGAACCCTGTTATAGTCTTGGCCTTCACAACCACCTCTGGCAAAGAGTTCACTGGTTAACTGTGCGTTGTGTGAAGAAATACTTCCTTTTGTTTGTTTGTTATAAGCTTGCTGCCTATTAATTTCATTTGGTGACCCCTAGTTCTTGTATTATGACACTTCCTTATTTACTTTCTCCACACCAGTCATTATTTTATAGCCCTCTATCATATCCCCCTTTAGTTGTCTCTTTTCTAAGCTGAAAAGTCCCAATCTTATTAATCTCTCCTTATATGGAAGCCGTTCCAACAATCATTTTTGTTGACCTTTTCTGAACCTTTTCCAATTCCAATATATCTTTTTTGAGATGGGGCGACCACATCTGCACACAGTATTCCAGATGTGGGCGTACCATGGATTTACATAGAGGCAATATGATATTTTCTGTTTTATTATCTATCCCTTTCTTAATGATGCCCAACAGTCTGTTTGCTTTTTTGACTGCCGCTGCACATTGAGTGCATGTTTTCAGAGAATTATCCACAGTTACTCCAAGATCTCTTTCTTGAGTCGTAAGAGCTAATTTACACCCTATCGTATTGTATGTATGGTTGGGATTATGCTTTCCAATGTGCAGTACTTTGCATTAAGCAACATTGAATTTCATCTGACAATTGTCTAGACAGTTCAAAACAAAAAGTCACTTTGGAATTTAATTCAGTAAAAAAACAAACTTAAAAAGGTTGAAATAGAAATGAAACAGTTCAAAATTGTACATATATTCTGAGGCCAGAGAGATCATTATGATCATCTGGTCTGACCTCCTGTATAACACAGGAAAGAGCACTTTCTCAAAGTAATTCCTGGAGCAGATCTTTTAGAAAATCATCCAATCTTGATTTAAAAATGGTTGGTGGTGGAGAATCCACCATGATCTTTGGCAAATTGTTCTATGATCAATTACTCTCATTTTTTTTTAAATTATGTCTTCTTTCCAGTCTGAAATTATCTAGTTTCTGCTTCCAGCCATTGGATTGTGTAGGACCTTTCTCTGCTACATCAGTGATTTTCAATCTTTTTTTCATTTGCGGGCCCCTAAAAAATTTCAAATGAAGATGCGGACCCATTTGGAAATCTTAGACATATTCTGCGGCCTCTCAGGGGTCTGCGGACCACAGGTTGAAAACAACTGTGCTACACTGATGAGCCCATTATCAAATATTTATTCCCCACGTAGGTACTTGTAGACCAGTAGTTCTCAAACTTTTGTACTGGTGACCCCTTTCTCACAGCAAGCCTCTGAGCGTGACCCCTCTTATAAATTAAAAACACTTTTTTTTTATATTTAATACTATTATAAATGCTGGAGTTGAAGCGGGGTTACGAGGTGGAGGCTGACAGCTCAGACCCCCACGTAATAATCTCGTGACCCCGAAAGGGGTTGCAACCTCCAGTTTGAGATCCCATTATAGACTGTAATCAAGTCACCCTTTAATCTTCTCTTTGTTATACTAAACAGATTGAGCTCCTTGATGTCTCACTATGAAGCAGGTTTCTAATCCTTTAATCATTCTCATGACTCTTCTCTGAACCCTCTCCAATTTATCAACACCCTTCTTGAATTGTGGGCAGCAGAACTGGACAAAGTATTCCAGCGGTGGTCGTACCAGTGCCGAATAGAGGTGAAATTACCTCTCTACTCCTTCTCCGGAAACTGTTTCCTGCCCACCTCTGATGCTAACATCACGCTTTTAAATTCTGGTCCAGATAAGGCCTGAAACGCTCATGAAGTCCGGTGAAAGCCTAGAGATCTGCTTCGTAAGGCCTTGGCTACACTTGAGAGTTACAGCGCAATAAAGCTGCCCCCAGCGCTGTAACTTACTCCCCGTCCACACTGGCAAGGCATTTGCAGCGCTGTATCTCCATGGCTACAGCGCTGCAGGTACTCCACCTCCCCGAGAGGAATAACAGCTGCTGCGGAGTGGCTGAGATGCTGGTGCTCCAGTGTAAACTGAGAGTAACCTTATTATGCAGTGATTGACTTTCGGAAACTCCCCATAATCCTTTTAAGTGAAGCTTCCTCTCTTTGTTTTGTTGTGAGCTCCGGGAGCTGCTTATCAAAAAAACAAACACAGCTACTGTTTGCTGTGAATGAGTAGATGCAGGCAGGGGGGCTCCCTTTGGAACGCCCACAGCTAATGTTTGCTAGAAGAGAGAGACGCCCGCGGGAGGGAGAGGGGGGTCCGTTTGGGGGAGTGGCTGCTTATCTGGTCTGTGAGGGAAAAAAACAAACAGCTGCTGTATGCTTTCAGTGAGTGAGAGGGGGTGGAGGAGGGAGAGGGGTCGGAACTTGCAAGGCAGGGTGTGTGTCCGGACTCCAAAAACCCATTCTCTCTCCCCCCACGCTCTCTGTCACACTCCACCCTATCCCCCCCTTTTGAAAAGCACGTTGCAGCCACTTGAACGCTGGGATAGCTGCCCATAATGCACCGCTCCCAATGCCGCTGCAAATGTGGCCACGACAGTGCGCTGGCAGCTGTCAATGTGGACAGACTGCAGCGCTTTCCCTACTCAGCTGTACGAAGACAGGTTTAACTCACAGCGCTGTACAGCTGCAAGTATAGCCAAGGCCTAAGTGCTTAAAGTACAATGGCTTAGGCCTGGTCCCCACTAAGCCCCCACTTCGGACTAAGGTACGCAAATTCAGCTACGTTAATAACGTAGCTGAATTCGAAGTACCTTAGTCCGAACTTACCGCGGGTCCAGACGCGGCAGGAAGGCTCCCCCGTCGATGCCGCGTACTCCTCTCCGCGAGCTGGAGTACCGGCGGCGGCGGCAAGCACTTCCGGGCTCGATCCCAAAACATCGATTGTCTGCCGCCGGACCCTCCGGTAAGTGAAGACGTACCCTTTGTCTTGACTAGAGTTTTAGAAGCTGTTAATTAGATCAAGCTAGTTAACTTGAGCTAACATCACATCTCTAAATCCTAGTTTAAACAAAACCTTTAGGGAGGGACTGGGTGTGAGCTAATAAACTCGCAGACCTGGTGTACACTACAGAATGTCACCATGTCTGAACATGATTGCTGGGCTTGGTAGCTAGCCAGTGCTGAATGCATTTTAGAAGTCAGCGTGTGCAGCAGGTCAGACTGCCTTCAGCTGATTGTGACATGGTGGGTCCTTCACTGTCTTCAGCAGCATATGCGCTCACATGATTGTTGATGTTCAGAGTTAGAAAGAGTAAAATTTCCAAGTGCAGACCAGGCCTCCGCACATCCCTCCAAAAGGTTGGGGGGTTGGTATTTCTCAAAAGGTGATGGGACCACTGGAGCAGTCATGGGATAAGAGAAGGGGATGTTTTATTTTTGTTGCCTATATTTTGCAACCTAATGTGTCCCCCTCTCTTATTTTCCTTTATTGTTTTATGTATTTTCCCTTTGTGATGCTGGAACTGTTTCCTATGTGTATGTGAGGGATGGGTGGATGGAATAAAAGAATCAAGGTCGGCCTGATTATGTTATAGTCATCAAATGGGGGTGTTTCTAGTGCGGTTCTGCAGGAATTGGTTTTCTGCCTGATGCTGTTAAATATATTATCAATGATCTGGAAGTAAATGTAAAATCACTGCTCCCGGTGCGATGCTGTGGCCAAAGGGCTAACGCGATCCTTGGCTGTGTGCACAATACAGTAGAGAGAAGGAGCAAGGAGGTGATTCGTCTCTCTGTATACAGCATGGGTGAGACTGGAATGCTGCATCCAGTTCTAGTATTTATATTATTACAGGGATGTTGAAAAATCAGAGAAGGTGCAGAAAAGAGCCACAGAAAATGTTCAGGGTCTGGAGAAAATACCTAATGGGGAGAGTGAAAGAGCTTAATCTTACCAACAAGAAAATTGAGAGGTGACATTATCATCATCATCAATTCCTTCATGGGGGGGAGGAAAAAACACCAGGTACTAAAGGCCTCTTTAATCTAGTGCAGAAAGGCAGAAGAACCACCAATGGCTGGAAGCTGAGGTCAGACAAATTCAAATTATAATTAATAATTTATAATAATTAATGGAGATATCCCATCTCCTAGAACTGGAAGGGACCTTGACAGGTCATCGAGTCCAGCCCCCTGCCTTCACTAGCAGGACCAAGTACTGATTTTGCCCCAGATCCCCACGTGGCCCCCTCAAGGATTGAACTCACAACCCTGGGTTTAGCAGGCCAATGCTCAAACCACTGAGCTATCCCTCCAGAAACAAGGCACAAATTTTAACGGTGAGGGTGATTAACCATTGAACAAACTACCATGGGAAATGATGGATTTTCCATCTCCTAAAGTCTTCAAATCAAGACAGGATGTGCTTTAGTCAAATTCAAATTAATGGGCTTAATTTAGGAGTAACTGGGTGAAATTCTCTGGCCTGTGGTCAGATGAGATGATCTAATGGTCCCTTTTGGTCTTAAACTCTGAATCTGTGAATACAGATACCACTGGAGGGCTCCCCAGATGATGCAGGGGTCACAGAGCCCTGATCATGTGTGAGATAAATTTACTTGCCGGAAGTGATGCAACTTATCTAGGAAAACAGGTGGGATGTTTTCTCCTCAGCTGCTCTATGGT